CTGAAAATTACTGTCTGCTGATAAATTAAATTAAAACATGTGGGAAAGCTAGTTCATCACTCTCGTGTGGAACTAATTTTTTTTCCAATAAAATACATTACAGATGTAACATTATGTGAGTGTGTCACATACCTTTATAACAGAAATAATGTTACAGTTGACGAGGTTCTGCAGGAAGCAAAAAACCAGTAAGTTCATACTTAAATTCAGAGAGTTCATAGCTTGTCTAGGTAACAAAGCTAGCAATTCCAACCAAAAAGCTTTCCAGCAAGGCAGTTGCTTTTAGATCTGCTTAGCTAGCCTCAAATTGTCACTGACTGTGCCTATGACGTGAGATACTCAAAGGCAGGTAAGTCCTGATTCATTTTATTTTAAACATGGCATTGAAGTCTGCTTTGCATCCCTTCAATTCCATGCCCTACATTTTGCCCAGCCACGTCATTGCATTTGGCAAAACCCGGAAGCCTGGTGACCAGGCAGTGGTGGCACCAGCAAACCACGCTGCATGCACACAGGCAACAAATTACAGATGTGCCAGGCAGAGACTGAGTGGCTCTCAGTGATGCAGGTAAACTGTCTGTGCAGCAAAAGCACTGCCACATAGAGATACTCTCCCAAGACGAGCAAGCAGACACAAGTCATAGCAGTAGCAGCAGCAGAGATGCCATCATACAGCTGCAGCTCTGAGAGAGGCAGCCTGCTTGGGGATCTCTGATCTGTGATAGATGACGATATGCAGACCGAATGGATCCTAACACAGGTGCTAGCAAGAAATACACTTAGAAATTTTTTCACAGCTATACTATTCAGGTAAATATCAATAAGGCAATGAAAAAACGTGATCACACTCTTAATCCTGTCAAACTATTCTGCGTGTGTAAATTAACTCCCCCCAAAAGGCAAACCATGTTTAAATGAGCTTTACATTTTTCACTTTTTTGCATACTTAAGCAATAGTGTTCCGAAGAAAGTAAGTTTTAATAATACTAACAAGAACTCAACACTTCAGCTGTGACTGTGGCCAGGCTGGACCCCACTACATTACAGGTGAGGAGTGAGCCAGAGGGGCTGCTGATCCCAGGCCAGCTGTGCTCTCTCCCCTCTGTCACTGGTTGCTTGCTGCAGTTTAGCTGAAATCTACCATTCTTTTTCTCTTGCAAGCTCTTCTGAGCATTAAAAACAAATCAAAATATGCTCCTTCAGGCACAGTTCTTTTTCCATTCAACTGAACGGTTAAACACGTGCTGATTGTAGCAGGGGCAGTCTGTCCCTTGTTAAATGGAATTACAACTCCTCATTGTTATATTGGAAGTAGAAACCCACAGAGCAATCCTACCTCATCTATGTCTGGTCCGTTAAGGAAACGGCATGGAAGAGGATTATGAAGCATTCCAACATTGTTAACTAATCAAAGGAAATACAATGATAAGAACCAAATCTAGACAAAGTGCATAGTTCAGCTAGTTAAACAAACGGATTCTCATCAAGACCCAGAAGCTTTTGAGCTGTATGTGAAGAGAAATGCTGTTTAGCATTGAGTCTTGTTCTCACTGAAGTCATTGATACTGATCAGTGCTGACTTCAAGGAACAGAAGAGCAGTCTGTTGCTACAGTTTGGGGGTTTGTTTGTTTGTTTGTTTCTGTTATGTTGTTGATCCATTTGTTTCACTATTAAAAGGATGATTTTCTCTACAAAAAAAAAAAACAAAAACAACAAGAACTTCCCCAAAAAATATGTTTTCTTTGTTGCTGCATGGATCATATGAATTAGTGTCAGCAACAGGCTCATTTCAGATTGAATATAAGAATTGCACACAGCTGTAAAACAACCAATAGTGAAAACTAACTCTTTGAGGCCAAACAAGGAAGAAGTTACCCCACAAGCTGGATGCTGCTTATAAAGGTTTCACCATAAAGAAGCCACTGTACAGAAAAATAGGAAGCCTTTGGAGAATCCTAGCTCACTTTTAAAACTTGTTCACGATAAGTAATGCTCAAATGCATTAGGCAGCTGTATGCTTGGTCTTAAGCGTTGGCTAACAGGTTGTTATCATTTATACAATTCTCTGTTTAATACACTGCAGTCATAAAATACTCTTCAATTAACAGACCTTAATGACTCACCCAGAACACCAACATCCAAGCCTTGCAGACATTTTTCAATGTTGTCATATACTGAATTTTTAGTGAAATCAGCTTGTATAACCTTCACCTTTTGACCTGTGGCCTGCTCTGTAATTAAGAAAAAAAAAAAATAGAAAAATCCTTTGCATCTGCAAAGAAAGAGGGAGAGCTGTAATTAAGTAATGACAGAAACAATCAGGTGTCTCATTTAGTAATGCCTGCTGTACATTAAGCAATTGTTTCAACTTTCTTACTTTAAGAAATACTACAACACAAACAAAACACTCTCACTGTACTCATTTCTTTTCAGGGAAATGGCCTGGCAAATACAGGATCAATTTATGCCCTGAAATCAATGGAAGTTCCCTCACAAAATCTAAACACCATTTGGTCCTTCAGTAAGAAAAAAAAAAAAATAAAGAAAGAGAAAAAACAACACAGGACTTCTTCCCCTGGTTATCATAATATTTAAAAATGAACAGTCAGCATACACTACACAAGTGAATGTGGGTGCCAGATCATTTACATAAGCACAGTTTTGCAGAAAGGTTTTAAACCATTTTCATATATAAGATTAACATTTTAACAAGCAGAGCATATCTTTTTACAAAGGAGGAGGGGAAAACTGGGCTGGATGTGATGCAATATTTTCTGTATTATTTTCAAACCATTGCTCTCCTATTTCGGCCTTTGCACTCTGAGAGACTGAACCTTCCCCATGATTTTGCAGGACTAAAAGGCATTTTAGGGAGGGCATAGCTTAAATTTTACAAGGTCAATTTACACAGAAGGGAAAGGGAAATGTGTATGATTTTTCCAGTGTCATTTCTATGCAGGAGTGGAGCCCAGCTGTACATTACCATTTTTCTCAGCAGTTGATACATTGCTGTTCATATTTTCAACGAAGTTTCATGAGGAAAAGAAGTAGAAGCTCTTATTTACTCATTTTTAAAGGCAAGGTTCTCCTGTAAAGGGGCCCAATAAGGTCTCTTCTGACTAGATGTTCATGTTGTAAATTCTTGTTACTAAACCTGCTTTCAAGTTTTATGGGTAACCTGAAATCCAGATGAATTTTGCTGAAAAAGCGACAGGCAAAGCTTGGAAATGTCAATAGATGATCAGATTGCAGACTCCCTGCAAGTGGCAGAAATTCAGGTGCACACGGATGGCAGAAAATCTGCTTTGCATCCTGTTTGGAAGACTGTCTCTGCTTGTTTGAAGCCTGATTTTATCATACAGGAGACAGAGAACATTGCTTTGAATAGGAATCAGACTCACTGATTTCTACCCAGCAATCTTGCCTCATTCCTTAGTGTACAGTCAGAACTTAGGAAGAGGCCTTGCACCAGCTCCTGCAGGAGACCAAGGCTGGCAGGAAGCTGGGTTTGGGTCCAGCAGGCCAGTTTGCAACAAAATGGAGCCTCCATTGGAGGATGAAAGAAAGTTGTTCCCTGTCAGTTGTGCCTGCTTGCCCCTCGATATACTGCATGTCTTGACCAACTTACAGTACTCAAGTAATGCAAGCAGTCTGAGGAAAAAGCAGACGCTCTGACTCCAGATCTGAAATGCAGGCTGCGTCTTGTGTGTAGTTTTAGAGGACACCTGTCTCCATGACAGAAGAAAGGAGGTTTTTCTTGCCCTTTTTCCAAGCTGCAGTTGTATGTATGAAAGGGACAAAACACCCTTTGAACCTTCAACCTATAAAAGCAACTCTAGTGGCAAATGACCCCCTTGTGGTCCCAGGCTGGGGTCATGATACGACTATAAAGAAAAGGACATTGTGGGTATAAATGCAGCGAGTGGGAAAGAACAGAGCAACAGCTGGAGCAGACACCTACAGTGACCTTCTGATTAAAGAGCTCTATAAACAAAATGAGATAGTCTTAAAATGTGTAGTGATGTTGTGGCCATCTTTCATGCGGGCAATCAGAAGGGCAGCCAAAACTAGAGCAACATAAAAATGAGGATCAAAGAAACTATTTGGACTTTCTTTGCATCCCCTTGTCTGTACAGAACTGTACTACTGCAACCAGTACTGTCAGCCAACAAACAAGTACTCCAGGTGGCTTTTCTCTGTCTCATTTAAGAATAGAACAATATATTAAACAACAATAAAGCTATCATGCTGATAAATGAATTATCCAGGGATAGCCCTTTCAGAAAATGATAACAATTCTGCAAAGGAGAGAGCCAAAATATAATTTCTAATGTTTCTTATGTCTCTCCCTCTCTGCAACAAAGATTTATGACAGTCTTTGAAGACACAAGCCATTGCCATTCTCTCTCTTTTAAAAAGTTCTAAGTGTGCCAGAAGCAAAAAGCCTAGGTTTTCAAACATCAGGACAGGCTATTGTCTTTTTTAAAAATGACGAGAAAACTAATTTAAGGAAAATTAAAAACTTGAACTGAGTTGTTTAATCCATTGTGTTATAAAATCTATCATTAAGAAGGCTACATCTAACTCCTTCTGACCTCAGACTACTTGGGAATCCCACTTGTCAGACAGGATAATGTGCTGCCTTTTGAAATTTACCAAGATGAGAATAAATCACGATGAAGCATGAAGTTGGTTAGGACATGCAGTCTGCCAGAAACTTTCCCTTTCTATTTAGCGAGTTATGAAGATCTTCTGAAAACCTGAGGTAGCAAAATGAATGCCCGAGTGACACAAGAACTTGTTTCTGTAGAAAGAGGAGAGACTTTTGAAGTACTACAGCAAAATTTGAATATGTAGAAAGAAGCACTCAGGCTAAGATGGCATTCGTATTCAGTGGAAACTTGCAGAGAGGAGAGCAAAATGAGAACTTATTTTAACAACAGAAAGAGGTTAAGAAAAAGATTTAAGACTGGGGAGAAATATAAAAAGTTCTGTTCGATTATAAAGCACAAGTTCCGGCTACATTTCAAAAGCCTTCTGGAGAAATGTGTCTCCTCAAAAATATAAGATAACTCAGTTTCAGAAATAACAGGAAAACAGAGAGGAAACAAAAAGAATGAGGGTAAAAGCAGAATGGCAAAAGATGATAGAAGATACCAGAGAACACAAACTCAGCGGGTGGGGGAAAAAAAAACACAACCCATGGGAACTGCTACTAGTTACCAGAGCATTCAAGAAAATCGGTCAAGGCCCTCAACTGCTCTGTTATGTAGCAGCCCATATTGGGAAAATAGTCCTAAGCAACAATACTTTACCTCAAGGGATCAGCAAGACACAACAGGCATTTTTAGCAGCCTCTGAGGATGAAGGAAGGATATGCCAAGTGAGTTGTTTTATGCTAGTTGATCTCAGCTTGTTACTCGCTTAGCTCTCAGAGCAAGAAGGACAAGAGGCAGAGGACATAGTCCTGCAGATAAGAAACTGAACCTGTAGCAGGGGGGACAGCTAAATGAATTAGCACCTTCACAGGTCTTAGTGGGAGCAAGGAACATTTGGTTTTCAACTGTGTGGGGTGATTTTTTTATTCACTGCTTTATTCTGTATTAATGGGAATAATTTCAGGAGGGAGAGGTGGATAAAATACTTCCTGCCTCACCAAATCCAAATTCATTAACCGCATGCTCAGCTAGTCTAACTGGTAGAGCTGTATTTTCTACTGCTTTCTGAGGATCATACACCTTATCTTTCTTTAAATAGAGACTTGCTCCCCCTCAAAAAAAAACCCAAAAAATCCAAAAAACAACTAAACCCAAACTCAAACCAAAAAAAAAAAAAACCACCAAACCCAGAAAACCTCCATCACCCTTGTTGTGAATAATTTCTATGTCTTACAGAAGTGGCTTTTTGGTTGGTTTGGCATTAACAGCCAAACAGTGCAGACTTTGGTTATATAAATAGATCCTAAGGTATAACTTTTCAGTCAGGACCCAGCTCTGCCTGTACAGCTTGTTTAGGAAATATAGGCAGAAGAAATAAAAAAGGAGTGCAGTTAATAACATTCCATCATTTCTAATCTCCTGGTTTTATGGTTTGATGATAAATGTTTCACAACCTCTGTACTAAATGTGTTCAATGTGCAGTATAGCTGGTGTATTGGTCCTCTCTCTGTCTACCCTCCACAAGACTTATTTTGTTATCTTTTATGTCATTCTAAAAGAGCTTTCCAGTCTGAGTGGATGGAAATCTGGTTTTCCATTCTAGTTCTTCTGTAGAGAGATTCTTTTCTTACTGTGGATTTCTGCCTGCTCCAGCTCCAAGAGCTGTTCTCAGGCACACCTGTGGCCCACAGGACTTGGAAAGCCAAACACTGAGATCTCTGAAAATACACACAGTTTAGACTTTCAATTTACATTATTCAGTATTCAAACTGCACGTGACAGTATGACTAGGTAAATAACAGCATCAGTTTGAAAAGGGAGGCAAGTCTTCTAATTATGGTGTCCAACTGATTGCAAACAGATACATGGTGTAGCCTTTAAGAAAAATGAAACAACAGTAATGTGTCCAATCCTGCAACAAATTTACAGAGCCTACAACAAAATTTTTCTCTCTACCTCTCTGTGCTGTAATATCCTTTCATGTTAGTCTATGGTAACGATAGCCACTTGGAGAAAGATACTGCTTGTTTAAGCAGTTCAGAAAGAAAAAGTCAGTGAGAGTTGCAAAATTTAGAAAACAGTACAATTATTCCGGTTAAGTTTCTGCTTCATTTTTGGTTTCTGTTGTTCATTTACTCACATAACATCACACTTAGTTTAACTTTTATTCCTTCCCAATGACCGCTTAGCTTAATTACAGTAAAGCCTGAGTCTGAAAATTGGAATCAGTGGAACATTTCCAAAGCTTTAACATAAGCCCACATCTAGAGCTCCCTGCTGATTTTAGTGGCCTCCAGGTCAGATACTCTATGCTCTTCATCACTATATCTTCCTCTCTTTCCTTTTGTTTGTGCCATCTACTTGTTGTTATGCACTCATTTCCAACCTGACACAATAAATAACAGATGAGTCACTCTGGGTTTCTGCCAAAACCCACTGAAAACAATGGAAAGATCTCACTGGGATTTGCCACCAATTTCAGCAACCTTTGGGGGAAGACTCTATGCACACAACCCAGACGAACATAGAGCAGAAACCTAATCAGTGTAGCCTGAGCCGCTGGGGTCACACCATCCACCTCCCTGCACCTTGGATTACATGGATAACACTCCTGCACTCAGTGAAGCTTCCTCATGTGCAAAAAGTCACAGGTCACTTTTGCACAAGGCGTAGGGGTGTTTGCAGGGTAGGCCACCTCAGCAGTACCTTTCAGGACATGTCAAGTTCTTCACTACATGCTGCTATACAATTCAGCACAGTGTGGCCTCAATTAGGAAGGTGGCCAGTGGATGGCCTTATAATAAATCATAGTGCAGAGGAATTTACAGTATGTCATCTTTCCAGCCCTCCACCACTTTTTTTCTTTACTTAGCTATGTTAGTCTCAGGAATCTTATTGTTTTCATTCTTAGCTTCTAATTATACATTTACAATGCAAAGAAACTATAAAAACTCTTTAGCCTTTTTTTCTTCAGGTTTCTACTATTGCAATTTAGCTGCAAAGAAATGTAGCAATGACACCAGAGCTGACCTAACTCCCATAGAAATATTTTTTTTTATGGCTGTTTACTTAAGAGGAGCTAGTGTAGGCCATAGTCAACATTGGTCTCTCGGACATGACATTCAGAGAGTTGGTGCTTTTCTCCTCTGATAGCTTTCCCTTGCTTCCCAAGGGAAAACAAGTCTATCCTTGGTAAAGAAGGGAGGGAAACTGGACAGAAAATTTCAGGGTCCAGTCCTTGATTTTGGTAGCTGCAGGTTCAGAAGTCACACACTTTTTCACTCACTTCAAGTCTGCCACATCCCTGGGATGTGCACTGCTCTCTCTGCAGGTAACTATTCTGGACTTGATACTCTGTTGGAGTCAGCTGCTAAGCCTGCTTAAAGGCAAGCCCTTCTCACAAAGGTGTAGTCTTGGAGTGACACATACTTACCACAAGAACCTGTGAATCAAGGAATCTGGTGGATAGAAGAAACTTATAGTAAAAAGAGACAGTGGAAAAAATAACCTTGATTACAGCAATCTTTAAAGTTAATGAAGGATATAAACTCATTTGACTCCTAAAGAAATCCTAACCTCAACGTATTTAAACAAGCCACTCCCCAGGGTAAGTGGTTAATTTCCTTTGAAGAAAAGAAAGCAAACTTTCATTCTAAAGACACATTTATCGAAAGCCAAATGTAACTTAAGAACCTTAAACAAACAAACAAACAAACAAACCAAACCCAAGCCAGGTACCTTGCTTTCATTTTCAGTCCTCCTTTGCTATGCTCCAAGAACTAGCCTAAAGGCAACCTTATTTTCCAAAGCATAAACTGTTCCACAGATCCCTCCAACAACTCTAGTATTACATCTCTTTTTTCTTTATTTACAGATTTTAAGAGCAGTTGAAGCCAGTAAAGAACGCACATCCACTTTTTTTATCAAATCCATTGTGCTGTTTGAATGATAGCATATATTTTTTAAGTGATCCACGACTAGAAGGGTTCAAGCAACACAGGAATACCAAAATTTATTTGTAATATTGGAGCAATACCTGGGGTGGTAATAATCTGGGACCTTACTGTACTGGATACTGTATCAAGGGAAGAGATCTCCAGATCCCTGTAAAGCTAGTTTGCTAAACAGGAAGATAAATTTGAGACAAATACTTACCAATTTCAGAGGCTACCCTCTGCAGTTTTTCGAGAGTTCTGCTTATCATAACTATATTTAACCCACGTTTTGCCAGCTACAAGAGAGGAATATAAAAGTTGTTAGGAAACTGTGAGGTGACAAGAATCTTTCAATCTTTTCCAGTTATGCAATAAGAGCAATAATGGATTTTTTAAATTGCTTTCATTCATCTGTCACCTGCCTAACAGGTAACAACCAAACCAAACAATAATCAATCTTCTAACAGTCTTCCAAAACATCTCCTTCACTGTACTATCTTGAACCCTTACACGAAAAATACACTGGACAAAATCAAGCCCCAATAATATGAACAAAAATAAATAATCTAAGCCAATCTCAAATAAATGAAAGTCTGCAGGGAATGAAAGCAACATGACATTTCACAGAAACACATTTTTATTTCTACTTGGATTTGGGAGATCAAATATGTTGATCATCTCCTAGTCATTTTATGACACCACCTTCCACCCTCACATTTTTTTACTCTGAGGAAGTAGATCAAGCATATTGAATTGAAGGCTCAAGAGTTTGAAAGGATTTGGACTTTATTAATATTTTTTTAAGAGAAATAAAATCTGTTGCAGGCCAAGAAGGATGAACTTTAACTATTGTTTTTTTTCTTTAGATGCAAACTAGCAAAAAAAACCACCCTGAAACCAAGGAAAAAAGGTGAAGTTCATGCATAAAACCCCAAAATACAGTTACACCAATGTACATCCACAAAGATGCTGGCAATAGTTGAAGTTTATAGCTGCAAACATATTTCAACATAGCAGTCCATTTATAGTCAGTTTGGTATTACTATATGCAGAACAAATGCAGAACAAATAAAGAATGGTTTTCTCTTGTTTTCCTGAGGGCTCTCATTCCCATTCCCATCAGTTAAAGAATTTTAGGCAAAGCCTGAGAGAGAAACATGACCCCAGCTTTTGAAACTAAGTTATTAACAAGTGGAAGCTGAAGGGAGTTGTGTGCATAAAGAAAGGAAAGATAAAGCTGAAACTGGAAAAATGCCTGTCAGAGCAAGGAGAAAGAGAGCTAAATTAGTCAGTACAAAAGACAAAGCCAATGTCATCGGAAAATAACAGGTTTTCTTAGAAGAAGAAACTAACCGGCGAAGGCCACACACTGAAGACTCATTCATTTCCACAGCTGACTCACTGCAACGCTTTCTCCTTAAACCTACTTGAAGGAAACAGTTCGTCCTGTTGGGCTTTTCTGAAACAATGCAGAGGATGTTAAGGAAAAAGGACCTTTGTTCAAAAAGTCACTACATGGAGAGAACAAGGGACAGACCGTCTATTAAATGCATCAGCCACAACCATTTGCATTTTCAGCACAAAGACCATGCTCACAATTCTGTGCTTTTGATCACCCTCTAACATAATTGACCAGTGCTCCAAAGGGACCTGCACAGACTTAGATGCTCAGAAGAGTTTCAATAGCTTGTTTTAAGGACTACATTCGAAGTTCTCAGGAAAAGAACTCTAATTGCCTACATACTGGCAGATATCCCTTTGTCTACAATGAGCTTGACTGAAGCTGTTTCCAATCAGAGTCACGGTCTGCGTTTCTACGGTCACTTGCTCCTTTCTGCCATTTGGAGGCGTTTGGATGGGGATTATTTTAATTTTGGCCTTCAGACCCAGAAACAAATATCAGCCACGTCATGTACAACATAAAAACAAAGTTCTGCTTCACTGGACTTCTCGATATCGTCTCAGCCATGTCTCTGTATTTCATTTGGTAGAAAAATCTCTCCTAAAACCTAAGTAAAAAATTACTCCTGTTGCTAAGAGTGCACTGTATTTCAGCTAAAAGCACATGTTTGTGGCAATCTTATAAAATTATTAACCACCAGGTGAGAGGACTCTCCCTTGCTGCTGTATACCACACTAACCAGAAGTATAAGGCTGTAGCAGCCATTTCTCAAGGCAAAAGAGCATATAGAACTGACTACACTTTTTTGGTTTATCACACACATAGCAAATGTGCACCATTTTTAGAAAGAGGTTTTGCAGGACATTGTAACTACCATGAGATTCAAATGCACTCTCAAGCCCATGAAAAGAACTGCCCCTAGAAATGTATTTCCTGGCCATCCACAGGAAAGGTTAAATCACTTCCACATTTCAAAGAAAGTTAACTTTTAGTGTAGCCGTCTTTAATACAAAGCATTTTCTAAACACGCACAAAGGTCTTCACATCAGAGCATGGTATTTTCCCTCACAGTTAAGAATAAGCACTGGTTCCCAGCACTGTGTAACATGAAACTGCTTGGGTTAGGAAACCCTGACTCCCAGTGGTAAAGGACTAAAATGCTCCTGAACCTCAGTCTGCCAAAATGTACAATCATTACCGACTCCAGCCATAATGAGTTATGACAACCTAACGTTTAGAAATGGAGATAGTAATAAAGAAAGATCAAGCAGGATCGGCACTCTGACATCTCACAAACTCATGGTTTAAAAGTTCAAACCTACACTAAATTAGTACAAAGTCACTGCATTTTCTGGAGTGTTTTTGCAGCTCAGACTGAGGTGAATTTTTAAACAATAAAGTTTTGTGAAAGGCAAGACACAGGTTTTAGATTCAAACCATGCATGTAACTATTACAGTGATCCTGACAAGTTGGCTATACTCTACATGGATCATTAGATATAATATTTTAAAAGCCCTAATAATGCTTTATGGAATTCGTAGCTGCCTACGATAAATTTCTATTACAAAAGCAATTACTCTCTTTTCTCCAGGATTGTGCTGATATGGCCCCAGTCCTTCACTCCTTTTCTTTCCTTGCCTGAGGTTCAGATCTGTAGGGTCCCTATGATTCAAGTCTTTCACCCCTTTTCAGTCCAGCAGACCAAAACTGAGAAAACAGGGCAGAATGATTCTGCAGTCTTTCTGCTAGCTCTGCACCTGTGCCACACAAGTAGAACAGTAGGATTTCCAGGAATAAATCCAAGACCAAATGGAGAAATTAGAATACATTTGCAACTGGAGCAGGAAAACTCAGGTCATATTTACCTTGCATTACTGGTAATGTATGCTGGTAATACCACACACAATTTCAGGAAATGAAACAAAGTTAAGATTTGAGAAACTGTTGTATTAAAGAATGAATGCCGTGCCTGTCTAAAAATGGTCTGCTAAAACATTGATTAAATACAGGCACTGGCCTGACTTACAAGAGACTTATGAACTATTAACAATAACAAAAATGGTGACTTCATGAGCCATCAACATCCTGCTTGTGCCCTGACGTCAAATGAGAAGTGTGTAGAAGCTAAACCATAAATCTCAGAGTATGGCATGGCCTCGTCCATAAATCAAATGTGTTTGAGGTGCTAAGTCAGTAACAGATGCTAAAACACACCAAACAAGACTGCACAACTACCTGAAATACTAACAGCTGAGTAGAGATGTGACAGCCTAGCAGCACCTCACAGCTGACTTGGTTTTGTTCCCTGTTTTAAGTTTGGTGAGTCTTAACCCCATCAGCCCAAGAACCAATGAGGCAAATCTAACAGAAACCTGGCTTTTGAAATAAGTTTAGCAAACTAGATCCAAAATCCCAGTACTCTGACATCACAGCAGTCAGTTAAAAGGTTGGGGTCATTACGCTTGAGAATGTCAGTCCTTCAAAATCACCCCAAAAGTGCTAGAAATACAGACAGAGCCTTCATGGAAGCCTGGACTTTCATGAAGAAGAGATAAGCTGAAGTTCTGTGTGTGCTTACCTCTCAAAACAAGCTCAGGGAACCAAAGGGACAATAATTTGCTCTGAAAAGTTTGTGTCCTGGCACCAACAAAGTAGTGTTCTGAGACCTCACAGCTGCTGGGCTCTACACACAGCCCTAGCCAGCTCTCGAGCTTAATAGACTTTGCAGAGACCTGTATCTGGCCACAAACCTTGGAAACAAGGGTACTGAATCAGTAAATATTGTAATCTTTGCTTGGACCTCAGTCTGCTTGGTTTTACGTGATGAACCACCTACTGGGATTTCCACATAAAATACCAGAGAAAGCCACACCACACTAGGCTTCCAATGTGCAAGAACTGCTCTCCTTAGTCTCCTGTACCATATACTATCAACGAGTGTGGAGCCCTTACATTAATTGTGAATCGTTATCGGTCCATGCCTGAGCTCAGGATGTCAGAAAGAAATTAATCATTTAGTGTCAGAGCTCAAACTCTGGAAGAACAGACTCTTTGGCCATCAAACAAGGCTTTCCTTCACATCAGCCTGTAACACCACAGGAACCTATGCCAGAAGAACATCAGAGAATTTTGTACCCTGACACATCAGACAAGTAAGACAGCAGTGCTGAGCCAGAAACTCCAAAGGCACAGAGATATTAAAACAGCAGGGTCAGACTTATTTATCCACAAGTCACACACAAGTGTGTGCTTCGACCTCAGCCAGCAAGATGACATGCCAAGCTATGAGCTCATGTGGTGCGGGACTGGGATCTGGCCCACAGAGCAGTAGCTGAGCACAGCTTCAATCAAAGGGACCACCTGGGGAGGAAGGTACATCTCAACATGGATAAAAATGTCTCTCAGTCAGCCCACAAAAGCCAAAAATAATGAGCAAATGTTCCACAAAACCTAGCCAGTTCTAGCCAAGTTTTTTTTTTAAAAACACAGTAGTTGTTGGTTTTTTTCACATGGTATAAAGCAGCCATTCGCCTGCTACAGTTGGCCTTTTAAATGGGAGTTACTCTTGCATAATCCATACAGCACAAAGGAGGCAGAACAATGACAGAGGCTCCGATCTAGACATTCACAGGTTCCTGCAGCCTTCACATGGATAAAGTATTACCAGGTGCTCACACATAAAGTTAGTTCAGCAAGCTGCATGTACAGGAGACTACACCCAGAGTCACAGTGTTAAATAAATGTTTAAGCATTTCTGACAATTCCTCTTCCTGTCTCGATCACATCCCTTTCTCCCCTGACCTATATATTCATCACACCCTTACCTGTTTGCTCGTTACTACTCAGTGAGTAAACAGAAGGCAACATTTTCCCTCCTCTCCCATGGGAGAGCTTGTGATCTTTACCACAGCTATGCCAAATGTCAAACTATAATACCTGGTATTTGTCCTCGTCCTTCCTACATTCAATGCACTTTCAAAAGTAGTTATTGTATTCCCATCCCCAGTAACAAAAATGATGAGGAAGGTCCTTAAACAAGCCAATTCACTTTCCTTTCCTGTGAGATATATTTTATAATTTATGAGCAGAAATCATCGGACCTAAACTCTTGCATATTACATGCTGCTAATTTTCACCTGGTCACCTCAGCTCCAAAGACAACAACTCATGTTTCATTGCTGTTTAACTTCTAGACAGGGAGCCATTTTTGAATGAAGACCAAAGAGAAAATCTACCATCCAGTCACTATCACTAATAGCAAGGCTGGTACAAGACAGTACAAGGACACGCTGCCTTCAGTGTTGATTAGCACAGGTGAACAGAAAGGGACTGCTGTAGTGGCACTGCACAACAGCAGCTACAGGGACAACACAGAACTCCTCTCTCCTCCTGCAGCCTCCTAGACCTATCAATTCTTATTTAAACTGTTAGGTTTCCTTATAATTTCCATAACTTGTAGTTTACATTAATTTGTACAGATTTGTCCTTTATTTGTTGTTTCAGATATATCTTTCAAAATGTGTTTGCACGTGTAAAGGCTAGAAAATCATACTATGTATTTTAATGCTGGACCAGCCCACTGCAACTTAAAACACAGGTTAGCTGCAAAACTGGGGAAAAAAGGACAATTTAGGAGACTTCCTACCCTGGACAGACAATGTGAAATCTTCTGGATTACTCATTTTATTTCCTTGGTCTGACAAGACCATTGAGGCATGAATGACTTTCCTCTGAAATGCAGCACCAGTCTCCTTTCAGAACTTGATTAATGCTATTCTGCACATACAGGGGAGAAGGGTTAGCACCATGTTTGTCACAGTGGTTTTGAATCCTAGAATAATTTTGCTAACTTGCAGAGACCGATGAAGGGGTAGCAATTGCCATTTTGTTAAAATAAACTTAGTGGTAAGTAACCTATCTTACCTCAAAGGAATATGCTTTTCCAAGCCCATCTCCTGCTCCTGTGACCACTGGAGAAAGTAAAAAGAATAAAGATTACATTTGGAGCTCTGCTTTAGCTTGTTTTTTCTTGAATTCTTTTATCCTTACCATCTGCATGTCTTGAACATTGCAACCTAAATGCTTCTACTGAAGCACAGAATCAATCTTTTTTCAAAATTTATTTCCTTGTGACCTTTTCATCTTCTTGTTACTTCATTTAGCACTTCTTGTCTTCAAAGCAAATCCCTCCCCACAGTAACCTATCTGATACAGTAAGTAGTTATTACTCTCATTTTCAATGGGGTCAACGAGAAGTAACAAGTCAACTGCCTAAGAGGTGGTAGAATTTTCTCCCATATACATATTTTTACAAGTTCTGCTTCGGACATTTTTGACTTTTATGCTTGTGGCAGAATGGTAGGAGATAAGGACTAACTGGTGACCAAAGCTGATATAACACTTTCTTAGAGGAAGGTCTCTGTAAGGAAACATCACAGCAAACTTGCCACCATCTATAAAACACTCTTCCTTCAGAGCTGTCCTACTCAGGACTTTGAATTTAGTGTTACTGGGAAAGTAAACAAGTTTCAGTATTTGTAAAGCAACCTGAACTTTAAACGTTATTCAAACAGATATCAAAGAGGAACTATAGGAAGAAAATCCTTATCACCTTAGAAATAAAAATAAATAAATAAAGAAGGAAAGCACTGAAGCAATTCCAAGGTAAACCTGGCAAGTTTGCAGAGCAAAATCGAAAACTAGCCAATATCAAAAAAACGTGGATTAAGGACTTCTAAATTGCAAGAGACATCGAGGAAGCAAGGTGATTTTGAATGGTTAGGTTTGTTGCCAACAGAAGAGTAATCACTCTCATTTCGCAGAGAAAAGAGACCCATCAGTGACACAGCAGTGGATCTTTAGCTTTCTAGCAGACTCGCAAATGAAAAGCAAGAGTCTGTTGGGAAACAAGCTTCCACCTGCCAACTTTAATTTTCATGATTCGCAGGATTTCATGTGCCACATGATACAGCAAATCATCCAAGCCTTATGAATTTCACTGGGTCCAGAAGACTCTATGTTAATAAAAAGGACAGAGCATAAAAGGTCCACTAAAGGAAAGAAGTCTCCTAACCTTCAGTGGAGACAAGGATTTTACACAGAAAGTTCCATATACAGCTCCTCACCTCACTCGCAGAACACAGGTCCCGGCCTCACTTAAATCAAAATGAGACCTACATATTGCTTCAGAAGCAACTGGTATTCAGGCAAGTCTTCTGCACAGGAGTGGATTTCATTTCTTACTAATCTACTGCGAGATATGCTTATTAAACATGTGTTCTATCCAGTCACATCAAGTCTCTAATGTGGGGGAAAGGAACGAAGCACAAGTCTGTTGTCAGGTCACTTTTTAACATGATGCCACCATCAGTGACATCTGTAGCCCAGGAGCTCAGAAACTGTAGTACCTGTTCATTCTTGCTTCATAATCTAACAAGATTAAGAAAACATCAATGACAGTAGGAAGAAGAAGGTGTTTATTAAACATTCTGTTATTTTATGAGAATGCATAATGTCTTTAAAAAAGTACTGCCAGGTTGCAGTCTTTGAAGTTTTTAGGCTAGAGTAGATTTGGATTGTTAATGATACCATTAAGGGTAGGTCAACAATTTGGAAAAAACACATTGGAGCAATGTCACCAGGAACAAAGAAAAGTTGCTTTGAAAAGTGGAGACCATATGGCTAGACATAAATGAGTTGCTTCACATATCAGGAACATGAGGATATAGGCAATGCTATTAAAACAAAAGCATTTACAGTACAGAAAAAACATCAGAAGCAGGAACGGGGAAAGAATTCACATCTACACACCAGTTGAGTGAGCTGTTACCAGTTTGACTATTTTTCCATTCTCCCCAACTACACAAAACCTTCAGGCTCATAAACTCTAAGTTACTAAAAGAAAACAAAAGAAATTAAGCAAACCACACCTACTGGAAACCGTGTTTTGTTCTGAAGGGTAAGGAAATGCAAGAACAGCTGCTCCTGATTAGTAAGGTAACAATCCACCACTTAGTTACAAGAAGAAGATGAAGAAGTTTCCTTTACCTGCCCATTCTCCCAGCGACCGAAAGAAAGTCTGAGGCAAACCACTCCAGATATGTGGGAAAACGTATTTCATAAATCTGATGCATTTTACCAGAGTACAGAAGCAGATCAGACCCCCAATAAGAGTGAGCAGCTCATGCTGGAATTCTTCCATGGCGAACGAAGGCAGTGAGCTAACATGAATCAGTCGCTCTCACCCTGGGAAATGCCTCTTTCCAGCATGCTGCTAGTCTCTGAGCACTGGCAGAGACGTGAGAAGTCTAATCAAATCACGTGATTTTCTTTTTCCAAGGAATGTCCAGGGTTTAGGTTAGAATAACATCCATACATTACACCCAGATTTGTAAACTGCTGAAAAAATCTAAACAATGATTTCTGGTGCTTGCTTTAGAGGAAAAGTTTCACTCTTTTTCTGGAAACTAGCCAAGAACAAAAGAAAAAAAAATTTCTATTGCCATTGTTTAGGATTCATAGAGACTAAAGACGGGTCTAAACCAAAACCCTGGATAAGAATACGCCAAACCTTGGGGACAACACACATCAACACTACTTCTTATGGTGAAGAGTTAAAACTCTAGCCCAGACATTTCCAGGGCAAGTTCACACTGAAACCAGAAACACAGGTTTATCTACCAATTTGAAGTCAAAATAATAAAAACTTACTAAAGTCACCTATTACTTTCTATACAGAGAAAGCAATATCACATAACTTCTCACAGAGATTTCTGAAAAGAGGTTACTATCATTATGCCCATTTTACAAACAATGCAATTATGGCATGAACAATTACAGTAATCTATTAACAAGAGAATAGGACTTTCAGCTTTTCTGAACAAAGTATGTTTGAACTAGTATTGAAGTTAAGGACATGTATTAAAACCTTAAGGGGAAAAACACTTATGAGAACAGTATCTCACTGCAAGACAGAGATGAAATCAATGAAATTCAGACTTCAAGTAATGAAAAAAATGTAAAAAGCTAACACATGGAATTTCTCAGGGAAGGCACAGAAGCAGCCTTCACTCTTCTTTGTGGTGGCAATTTGAAACACTATCCATTTTCAAAGATTAGTTTAAACTGGAAAGGAGAAACACTGACGCTTACATGTGCATTTAGGAGAAGGTAAAATAAAATTTGTCTATATATTTTAAAGACATTCTTCCACACTTGACATGAGTCATCTCTAAACCTCTGACACCCAGAGGAGCACCAATATATGTCAAGTGTCACGTTACTGACACCTTCAGCCAGAAAATAATATGCAGATGCACTACAGAGTAAAGATGATGTCTGAATCACAAGAATTGTAGCAATAACTTCTCTGTAACAAGAAGATATAAAAATCATTACCATCTTAGCTTAACAACAACCCAGTTTTCTCACACATAAGCTCTCTCAAAATTTCACCTTGTTTTACCTCGTAAGGCCAGTCAAATCAAAAACGGTCTGAATATTAGAAGGTAAAAGCTACGGATGTCATCTATCTGCACTTCCATAAGGCCTTTGACACGGTCCCCCACAACACCCCTCTCTCTAAGTTGGAGCGATATGGGTTCAATGGGTGGACTGTTCAGTGGATAAGGAATTGGCTGGATGGTTGCATCCAGAGAGTGGTGGTCAATGACTCGATGTCCAGATGGAAAATGGTGACAAGTGGTGTCCCTCAGGGGTCTGTACTGGGACCAGTGCTGTTTAATATCTTTATTAATGATAACGACAGCAGCAATGGGTGCACCCTTAGCAAGTTTGCTGATGACACCAAGCTGAGTGGTGCAGTTGATATGCCAGAGGGACGGGATGCCATCCAGAGGGACCTGGACAAGCTGGAAAGGTAGGCCCAGGTGAAACTCATGAGGTTCCGCCAGGCCAAGTGCAGGGTCCTGCACTTGGGTCAGAGCAACTGCCGTTGGGAGGCAGGAGAAGACATGTCTGAGAGAAGACATGCTAGAGAGCAGCCCTGTGGAAAAAGACTTGGGGGTACTAGTGGAGGAAAAGCTGGACATGAGCCACCAATGCACAGTTGCAGCCCAGAAGGCCATCACATCCTGGGCTAATCAAAAGAAGTGTAGCCAGCAGATCAAGAGAGGTGATTCTGCCCCTCTACTCTGCCCTTGTGAGACCTCACCTCCAGTGCTGCATCCAGCTCTGGAGCCCCCAGCACAAGAAGGACGTGGACCTATTGGAGCATGTCCAGAGGAAAGCCACAAAGACGATCAGGGGGCTGGAGCAACTCCTCTGTGAGGACAGGCTGAGAGAGTTGGGATTGTTCAGCCTGGAAAAGCGAAAGCTCCAAGGAGATCTTATAGTGGCCTTCCAGTACCTGAAAGGGACCTATAAGAAGGCAGGGGAGGGACTGTTCATAGGAGCTAGCTTTAAGCTAGAAAAGGGTAGATTTAGGGGTAGATTTAGGTTGGACATTAGGAAAAAGTTCTTTAATGTGAGGGTGATGGATCATGGAACAGGTTGCCCAGAGAGGCAGTGGAAGCCCCATCCCTGGAGACATCAAGGTCAGGCTTGATGGGGCTCTGAGTAATCTGATCTCATTAGAGATGTCCCTGCTTATTGTAGGGGGGTTGGACTAGATGACCTTTAGAGGTCCCTTCCAGCCCAATGCATTCTATGATTCTACGACTTCCAAAAATATTTACAGTCACAAATTCCCCAAATAATCACTCACTATTCAAGGAACACTTTAAATTTGAATGAGTTGCACTGTGTTTTTCATATGCAAAAATGCTGAACACCTTCTTTAAATGGAAAAAAAAAAAAAAAAAAAATCACTTCTGTTTGATGATGGAGTCAAAATGCAAACTTCCACAGCTGCCAGTCTTCTCTTTTGCACTTCCAGCTCTACCCATGCTCCCTTGCCATTTTCTTTTCCAGAGGCTGGTAGTGAGCCTGAGATATGCCTACAGTACTTCATGGGCCTAAAATTTGTAAATCAGGCCAAGATACTAAGAGGAAAAATAGTATTTTTTTATGAATGTGAAGAACTGCTCATTCAGCCCAGCCTAAGGTGTTTTTTTTTTCCTGAGGTATGGCTTCTCTGACTTTCCCAGGAATCACTGCAAGAACTTTACACATTCCATGGGTAGAAAGCTTCTTTGGGTGACCACTGTAGTTTTTCTCTCTTAATCTCACCCCATTACAGCTAACCCACTGCTAAGCAATCCCTATAAAATTAAGAGTATGAACAGATCAATGTACAGTGCAATATTCCTTTCCAGTCCAGTTACCATTTTTAAGTTTCTTTGTATGTTCCCTGTAGAACTTAAAAAGTTTTAAAATATTGGACTTACTTCTGAAAATCAGGTTTTGTAGCTAGCACCATGCAATTGCAAGACACTTCTGTGAGGGAATGTGACTTTCAGAAGTCAATCCAATATTTCTTAAAGCTAACCCACTTACTAATACTTTTAAGTATGTATTCTGAAGACTCATGTTCTCTCTAACCATTTTTACCATTTTTCCAAAAGAAAGAAAATGAAGCTTCACACAGCAAATAAGTCATCTAATTTTACAACTGTTTTAATATTTCATTAAACTAATATGACATCTGTAGAAAAGTAAGGTTAGGACTATCTACAGATGCATCCTAAAAGAAATCAGTTCTAAATTACTACCTTATTAACCAAAAGACACAACTACTGAATGAAATCGCCGTTTCTGTAATTGCCTAAATTCTAACATGATAGTTGCGCCTGGTTGAGCCCATATTCCCAGAGTTTCGACCAGCAAATTTACTGGAATCAATATTATATCCACAAATACAGAGGACAATAGTAAGTGACTGAAGCTGAATTGCTTTGTGAAAGGATGCAAGCACTTGCAAGTTATAGCTAGTACGTACCTTTTGTTATTCCTAAATTTATTTTTTAAATTATTCCGAGTAATACTACCATAAAGACTCTGAGAATCAGGTTTGTATTCTAGGTGATAAGTCTGAGTCTGAAAAAACATGACACGAACAATGAATTAAATAAAATCACTTCCAAAGAACGAACTAATGAAACTACTTCAAGTAGCAGTCAATTGTACAGAAAGTAAATATTTGTGCTATGCATGTATGCTTGAAAGCATTTTTACATGTCCATCCACACAAAAAATGAAAAACTTGTTAAAACTGTAATCTGTATCTCTTTATTTGTAAAAGGTACAGCAAAATATTAATGAATTAAATGCATACAGTAGTAGTTCCTTTGTGGGAACTACATCTTATTTAGCAGATGCCATGGTGTGTCCACCAGTATTGCAATCAAATGGCTCTCATAATCTTTTTGTAATTAACAAAATCCTTCCAATGCCTTGTCCTACTGCAGAGAGACAAGGTTCAACAATTAGGATTCTACAGGTAGAGATGATCTGCAGAAAGAGGAGTCCTGTAAAAGAATACACTCAGACATATTGAAGGCTTTTTAAGTATAAAGGAAATCTTTAAAACCAGAAGATCTCTCTGAAGTATTTGCAGAACCCTTTCCCTCCCCAGGTCTTTGATAGGTAGAAAATGGAAGTCCATCTCTCAGCCAGCTGTGGGAAACTCAATAGCTCAATAACTTCTGTTTCCACTTTGACTGTGCCCTTAAATTCCACTTCGACTATCCGCAGTCGCTGCTCCTCTTGCCATTCAAATCCACACAGGCAGTGGGCAGCCCAGTCATTCCCCGAAGCTTCTGGTGTGAGCTACTCATGTTTCTTAGATCTAATCCAGTCTGGTCATTCACATGCTACACACAGAGTAATGCTTTTCAGATTTAGCTGCATTTTAATTCAAGAGGAGATCAAATAAGTCATTAGACTACTCTGGTTCCATGTCAAGGTCTTCTAAAATCTTCTTTTGGTTTGATTATTTTAAAAAAAAACTTGGCTTATGCTTGCAGGGAATCAAGATGTTCAACAAGATTAATTACTCTACTGTCTTCCAGCACTGCAACGCTTCTACCGTGTTTTCAAAGATTATTGCTATATCCTCAGAGACACAGGTAAGCATTATCAATGGTATTTTCAGAGAAGGAAATAAAGCTACAGAGTGGTGCCATTTCATCCCAGATGAAAACCCAGAACCCCATATTCTGGGCCTTTTTTTTTAACCACTGGACCAGCCTCACCCACTGTAGCAACCTTCTGGGCTTGCTCTGAATTTTAAACATAAAATAGTACCAGACAAGCTTTCACTGTATATATAAGACACAATAGGACACTGATCCCTTCCCCTCATTTAAACACAAGTTAGTCTTCCATATATCAATCAGTTTCCCATCTTTTATTTTGTACACAGTAGCAACACTCCTCTGCAACATTAAAAGCTTGTTAGAAACAAAGTATCAGAGGAGGGGACTGTGATATAAAGAGATGAATGCACCTAACAAAAATAGATTTACCTTTTTTATCTCTCCTAATCGCTTGTTTGGTACTGGCTCACACACACTAAAAATCTTTTCAAATATTAAAAAACCCTCTCTCAATTTCCTTCTCTCCTTGATCCTGCAGCAAAATTATGAGGGTTCACTTAGAACAACAGTGACAATTGCAGCAGAACACCATGATGTTGTTGAGGACGAGGAGAAGATTGAGAGAGAATGGCTACATGATGTGTACCAAACACACTAGGCCATATCCTGAATTCTTCAGTCAACACCTACACAAGGAACAATCTGGGGGTACATCTCCTCTTTGCCCCATATGTTCCACATCACTTATACAAGTGCAAATGCATGCGTGACATCATTCTGAATCACTAGTATCTTTCATCTCGTCACTGATAACAAAGATTGCATGTGGCATAAGGCAATGGTGAATCAAGCCTCATGATCCTTACAGGGAATTTTGCCTCAGAGTACTGGCAAACACTGAAACAGAGCTCACAGATAGCACCAAAGTACAAGTAAACGAAGAAATTTACAACTTGAGACTTGCTCATGCCATTCCTTCCTGTAAATTAGCTTGTGGTGTAAAAAAAAAAGCTAAAATTAAACCTGTCCACATGTAAAAAACACGGTGTGCAAGAATATTTCTGAAGCAATGAATGGTGTGCACATCTGTGGCAACTGAGGTAGATTTTTTTTCCTTGTTCCAAATATGTTCCAGCATATATTTATTTAAGTTGTCAGCAATGATAAGCAAATACTAAGCAAATACAAACTTATCTTCGGTCTCTTTCAAGGCAGGCATTTTACCTAATTCTTTGGCTCAGGAAGCGCATTCTCTTCATCCCCATGTTGCGTAGGCTTGCTGTTTCCTCTTAAGGTTAAAAATGAGTACCTCAGTCCTCCTGCCATACTGAAGAAAACAGAATTAACAGAGATGTCAGAGATACCTGATGTTGTATATACCATTTTATAGATACGTACCTTTCCCTCCAAAGGATTAAAGAATGCCAGCTAGCATAAATTAGTAGTGCCTCAGAGCTATGTAAGCCACCTCAGATACTAGCCCTGAGTAGACAAAGATCAATTATCAGTTGCTCCAACAGATTCATACAAACAGATGTAACAGTTCATCCAAGCACAAAAAGTAACAGCTCACAAGTTATAACTCATAATCAATGGGCACAACTCGGTCAGTGTTCTCACTTTCCACACCACTTGGCTTTTACTTGGAAGTCTCACAGCTCAGAACTGCTGCCCATAAAAAAAGAAATGAACTCAATCCCACATAGTAAAACTGCAGGCATGTTTCCACAGTTAAGATACTACCACAGTAAGATTCAATATCTGAAAACAGACATGAAAAGACATAACTAATTGTAATGCACCTTACATCCTGAGGCAGTTCTTCCTCAGGCCAGTAGTTTCAAAACTGCATCACTCAAGTGGGCCAAATCAAACAAAACATAAAACTGTATCTCACTGAGAAATTTTCAGTTTTAACAAATAAAGGCTATTCAAGTTCCACTCACCAAATATTTAGCCCTATAAAGTTTAATATAGAGAATATGTAATCTCCACCAATCAACATTCCAATGTAAGCGATGGATATATTCTGAAAGGAAACAAAAGCCATGTATTTATTGAAGTCAGGAATATACGTTATATCAGTTAATTTACTTTTCTAAGAAAATAGCTGTACTCTGTTGCTGGTGACTCTAAAATCAGCATTTAAATCAGTTTCACAGGATGCCAGCCTTATGGATAACGTAACAGCAAAATAAAACAAAAAAATCAGTATGTTTTCTAAATGCATGAAATGCAAGGAGAGTGACTTTCTGAAAAAAAAAGAAAGAAAATTAAAAAAGAAAATCAGCTATTTGATATTAGGCAAAATGGAGCTATGGCCACCTTCTGAAAATGTACTTGTTTTTAATCTTTAGGAGGCTTCTTTCAAATCCCATTTCTTAAAAGTAGGTTTTGGGTTCTCATGCATAAAAAGTATGCTTTAAAGTTACAATAAAAGCTCTTTATTATTGCTTTAAAAGAGTTACCTCCTTACTTTGCCACCCAAATGTGCATTGAAAACACTTGGCTCAAGTTCAAGGCAGGCACAGTTTGAAGTTAAAGACTCTATCACCCCACCCCCATCAAGTTTGGCTAAAATTGTCCCCTACAGACAGAAGGAAACCTATAGAACTGTGTGATCATTTTACCAACACTTTGTTGGTTTCAAATGTTTTACCAGCTAGCCTGGACAATTACATCATTTCTACCAGTTTCTACTGGGGACTACTGCATCATAAAGTGCTTCTCAACTTTAAAGCTGTTCAAAATGTCTTAAAGACTATTATTGCTCAGAAAATAGAAATAGTGTTGCTCTAGCTTAACGGTTCAATGCAGACATATAAAATTTAAAAGAACACTTTCAGGGCCACAGAACGAAAACTACTAGATTAATCCTGACAGCTTTCAAAAAGAAAACAACTGTGAAAAGAGAAGTACCATCTTCCTTTTGCGGATTTTGCTATGCTGGAGGTATCGTTCTCCTTAGCTATCAACGCAAGGGAGCCTAAGCTAGTTTGGATTCTGATAGTTATTTGGTGCACAAGTGCACAACTTTTATCTCTTGCTAAACCCCCTCCAGCTTAACAGCTCCGTGCTTCTCTCCAACCTGGCTACGAAAAGGTGCTTGGGCAGTCAGTGATGTCCCCAGCTCAGACGTGCTGGCCTCATCAACACAAAGCACCGGTTTTAAATTAAACTGGGTTAGAGAAAACAGACTGCAAGGACACGAAGTTCCGTTTTCAAGATGTGCATGTTCTGGTGTTGATCAATATAGAAAAGAATTTATACAAATCAAAATGAAATAGTCCATTCAGCTAGAATACAAGTTCTCACACAAAGGCTGAAGCAGTTCACGATAAGGTAATACGCTCCTTACTACAGCTTAGCCATTATTGTTACCTGTGAATGCCCTGTGTATTAGCTGCAAGTGAAATTAGTTCAGGCCAAAGTGAAAATGGGTTAGTCTGTCACAGTTTGCAATGGATTTGCACCAAGCCACCTTGACTAACTCTCTGTAACTTCATAAAGAACAGAATCAGGTGACAGAATCTGATGAAATGTGGTTAAACGTACATCTTTTAATTAAAGTCATTTGAGTTTCTCTTGTAGGAAAAATAAAAATAAATCAATACTCACATTGCTTTCTAGACTACATCTGAGCTTCAATGGAAGAAAACCAGGTCACTTTGTGGTGTGACCTTGTTTGGCACAAGCAGTGTCTCAGTATTAGCCCTCATTTTGAGTTTCTAGCTCAAAGCATAATCAGGATCACTGCTGAGTCAATGCTCTTCCCTGTGTATTTGAGCATTCTCATCTCTCCTGCTCCATAACTCACCTTGATGGCACCAACTACTGTTGTTGTGAGTGCAGAATTGTAATGACTGCATAGCACAGTAGAATACATCAAGAGAAACCTAAATAAAGTAAAGGAGAAAATTTAATAAATTCCACCCAGGGAGCTCAAAAGTTTAGCAACACTTTGAAAGGTTCAGCATTTGCTGGATCAGTATTTTCTGGGGTATTCAATTCCACCTGTTCGAAACCCTAAAAAAAGACTCTGTGGATCCATATTTTAAGTTAATGATATGCATATACACAGTACTCAAAATATACATTAAAATGTGCTGCCTGAGCTTTAGTAGAGTCATCCCTATTCTCTGTGCTTCTTAAATGTCAGTATTTCAAGTTAGTTTGACCCCTTGGCTGGTGACACGTGAAAGAGCAGAACAGGATCCAACTCATTTTTCTATTCTTCCTTTGACTCGGCAGTTCCAACAGGACAAAGCACTGTTTCATTACTTTTAAGTCTCCCATACTTTTTCAGGTACTTTAAAGAACAAATGCACTGAAACAGTTTGTATCATAAAGGGCTTACGTTCTATTAGCTGCAAAGAAGTCAGATAATCAGAAGAGACAACCAGCAGAGAGATACTGAGTACAGAAACTAAAAAGCTAAATGTCAACAGACCACTGTACTGTGAGGTTAACAACACAAATAGTACTGAAACAGTTATTTACATTATTAGAAATAATTAAAAGACAAGACAGAAGCCTGGTGGAAAACATATTTTCTTTGATTTTTAACTTATAGTGAGTCGTACATTTGAGATCTGCAATTTGAAACAGTGTCATTAAAAGTCTTACTTGATTGCCCTGTGTCCTTACCCCAACAAGCAGGAAAGAATAAATTGAAAGACAAATAAAAAATTTGTCCAGAGCTGGAAATGTGTTGCCTATTTAAAAAAAAAAGAGAGAGAGAGAGAGAAAGATAATTATGTGCTATATAATCAGCTGTAAACACATATAAAATGCAGTTAATATGACAATACGCAAAAATCACAAAATGCATTTGATTCGTATTATAATTATGAAACATTTATGTTACTACTGGAAACAACTTGATGCATGTAACTTTAGAAACAACAGGATGACAGCTCCCACAATACCTGGATACATTCTTGTAACACGTATAGCAGTAAAGATATAAAACTGCACACTACAAGCAATGAATATAAATACAACACAAAGAGTTTGTGCGTTTATATTTATTGATACAGATACCAATGCTGTGATTAATATTATATAATAAATACTGTCGATATGAGACAGACAAAAAGCAAATAAATACATAATCTCCTTAAAATCTATCTCATACCATAGATTCATTCAGAAACTGCTTTCAAGGTCCAAGTCTGCATTTTTGAGCTCAGAAGTACATTAAATAAGCATCAGTAAGGTCTCTCTGATGAGAGACCATTAAGGTCAATGAAAAGGCTAAATCATCTTTGAAGTCTGCTCCTTAGTAACGTGCAGCAAACAAACACTCAGAGCCACACACCAGTTACTAAGAAACACATCATGGATTCTTTTCCATCTCCAGTAACTCCAGGATATGCCTCATTTTAATCTGATCAGTTTAAAAGTCACCTGTATCAGCAAAAAACTCAGCAAAGGCTGGATATATCCCTGAGAAACAGGATAAAGCCTGATAGTCCATGCTGAGGTGTGGCTAGTTGAGTCTCCACCTGAGGCTCAGCCTGAGGTTAACACCTGAGGCAACAGATAAGTGGGATCTTGGGCAGCTCTGCCCTGCTAGAATCATGCTGGCGTGCAACAAGGAACTGCGAAGTACTACAGAGACACATTCTGGGTCTTCCTTTCTCTTCCACTGCATCATGCTTTCCTGTCCTCCCAGTCAGCCAGCTGGTGAAGAAGTGAGTAACTGGAACATTCACAAGCTCCAGTATCTTACAAGATGTGATAGCTATCATTCCAGAATTAGCTAGAGGAGCAGAAGCAATCTCCCTATCACATAGACAAGGTACTGATATTTTGACTGGCAAAAGATGCATGCTGTGCATTGTCTGTGACAGGCCAAGGCAAAAAGCTCTGCCAGGGCAAAAGCAAGCCAACTTCTATGGCCTGAAAATCTGCTAAATACAGGTGTTACCTACAATGATTTGTTGACTTTTCATCACTATTTTTTTCCACTTTCTCCCCTTTTTCTGTGATTTACTCACTGTGAATCACACTGACACCAGTTATCCACATCATTTAATGGGACTTTTAATATTAAGTGACAAAGCCAATGCTTATGCACAATAGCCACTATGCATTTCTCTGGAATTTATTCATTCTTTTCAGGTAATTGAGCATTAAATTGTTTGTGCTAAATCGACACATAGGCACAACACACTCTAGTTTTCCAACGGAATAAACCTTGCAACAAGGTAAACTTCCCTGTCCAGTTCTCCCAAAATGCCTTCAGCCCTGCCTGCTGGGAAGGCAGCTGAAACCTTACAGCCATACAAACTTGACCACCACTACATCTGACAAGAAGGGCACCAGCTGCATTTTCCTGAACTGGCACAGAGTCATGCTGGACTGACGTCACAAGTCAGAGCAGATCTAAATCCATCATTTTCAGGGAAATGCAGACTTCTGAGAATGCAATGACAAAATCATGTGAGCCCAGGGCACAATAACATACAACAAAGGACACCAGAATGATTTATGGTACTCCCAAGTTCTGCAACAATTTCAGTGGCAAATCTCAAACATTTCCAAAAAGGAATATGAGTGTCTAGACTCATTTTACTAGTAAGAAAAAGGCAACTCAGCAAGTCTGTGAAGGAGTCAGAAAAACACAGACCTCCTGGTCTGATAATTTAAGTACCAGGACATACTGTCCATGGTATTATACTGTATTATGATTAGCTGTGGAGAGTCATGCTGTCGTTCTATGAGAATGTAAAATGTAGGTTACTAAACTAGACTGAGACTAAACAGGAATCTGTTCTGTGCATCAGAATGAGAGAAGGACTGGAAATTGTCTGGTTTTGGTATCTGCAGTCTCAGTTTAGGGCATGCAGCAAATCACGCAGTGCAGCTGGATTCCTAACTAATTGCTCTAGCTGAGAGCCCCCAGTCATACATTAGTTCTCAAACAAAGATTCATATAAGGGCTATCACACAAATTCAGCTTCTCCTTAGAGTTAGTAATTATAAGTTCTTACCTGTGCAGGGCAAGTGGAAGCCACGTATTTCAAATACTAACGTTGAAGTCAGATCACCTCTTTAAAAACAACCAAACAAAAAAATCTACCCAGCCCCCAACTGAAAAATCTGAACAGTTATCAGTCTGAGATACGCAATACTACACCCCTAAGATACACAATATTACTCCTCACCTGGTGAAAGTCTCCAGTGGAAAGGCTAATTATAACTGCTGGAACCACCATGAAACAAGCATTATAGAAAAGGACACCATATTTTCCCAACTCCTGTGAAAAACGAAACACGGTGTCGGGAATTACAAGCCATTTGGGAGCAAAATACTAAATATTACTCTGGCAATCCTTCTGACATTATGTTTTGTCTGCTCATTGACAATAACACCTTTCAACTTAAAATACAAGGTTGTGATCGTCGGATTCAGTGTTTAGTACTAAGCTGAGTTTTCACTTCAGTTACTTTGCATGCTCAGCAGAATATTACCGCTTTGCTATACCTTGAATAGTTTCTATACAAGGCCAGCTAGTCAGAAACTTCCCATGGCACTGGTCCAGAACTGCTCTGTGTTAGACTCCATTTAAGTCTCTGCCTGGCCAAGGGATTACTCATTCCATCTATGGCAAACCAACGACAAAAGCATAGGGCAGGGTGGCTCCATGGGGCGAGCATAACAGGAAAATTAATGAAGTATGATACCTAGATGGAGCATCTGTAATCGCTCGTAACTGATGGAACTTCACGCAACTTGACGGATGCCATATATACTGTTGGTTAACTTTCTTGGCACAGAGGCAGAAGATTAGGGGAACGAAAAAGCAGACTTTCCTTCCTCCAGATTCAGCGATGCTACTTATCAAATCTCTCCAGCTTATCTCTTGCTTTAAAATGAAACCCCGTATTTTGCAGAAAACTGTGAGGCCATTAAGTGCTGCTCATAAAGAAAAATACAGGCTCTGGATTCGATGTGACTCCTGAGATTATTAAAAGATATATATTTCCACTGTGCAGACTGAACCACAAAAGTCAGTGACAAAACCTCTGCCCAGCATCTCCAAGACTGCTCTTTGCTACAGTTTGGTATGTTTTCATGGCACTGTATCGGAAGAGCAGCCTGCTCAATGTTTACATAAAGTACAATTCATCACGGTATTGCCTAATTCTTCAGCATACCTGGGTTTGTTGTAGATTTGCTTTTAGATAGCCAAAAAAGGTATCAGTTGGTGTGGTTATTGACTCAAACTGGCAGGTCTCTGTTCCTAAAGACAAGTTTATTTTACATAAACCTCACTTAAAGTGTGTTTCTAGTCAAAAAGTCATCTTACTTAGATATACATATAAAGTTTACAGGTAAACAATTTGCTTTTGGTTTGCTTTTATTTTAATTTTTTAGCCAAATGCAACATTTTAAAGCCACTGCAAATGCTGCCTAAAACACTTGGGAGAAAATAAAATACACTATTTAGCTAAGCTTTGCCTGAGATACTAGTAACAAGTTTTTCCCAGGCTGTTCTGTATTAAGGATGCACATATCAACTGAAATATGAAAGCAAATTAAACTATTTATTAGTTCAGAACTATATGATCTGAACTAATAAATAGTTTATGATCATAAAGTCATGTAGTAAGTAACCCACAGTCACCATATTGTCATAATGTTAAATTCCACCAACTAGTTACCTTTGGATCGATTTTCTGCTTTGTGTAAACTCCATTTGCTGCTGTGAAGATATCATTTAGCAATACAAAGATGTAGCCCTCCAGATTAAAAGACAGATCAGACCTGGGAAAGAAATATTATATTGTAAACAAGCAAACAGTATCCAATACATTGCATTACCTTGTTTATCTACAGAAACATCATAAACAAGGAAATCCAAATCCTGAGAACTCCAGCAAGTCACAGGTTTTGCTTTAAGCTTTCATTGTAAGTCAAAGTACTTTACATTTCTTCAGTCACAGGACTATCATAAATGAGTCACCAGAGAGTTCCCAGTACACAGTGCAGAAGTGGCAGGAAACCTTCAGTTTTCATTCTGTGAAAAATTCCATCTGTCTCAATCCTGACAACCTGTCCAATTATTACTGAGTATATTTATCTACTTTTTTTAATAAAAAAAGTAACTAGGGAATAAAGTTTTTTACAGTCAGACCAGACATATTGTCATCCTTTCTGTTTTGACTAGTTACCTCATGGATATAGGGTAATTCATTTAATAGGACATGGCTTTATCCAAGTCACATCATATGGAAATTATTTACCTTTGTACATAGCAAAGCCAAGACACAAAAAGTAACATTACATTTCCAGTTAAGTAAAGCAGTATTCAAACAGAAAGAAAACAGAGGAGACTAGTATATGAGTGCTTTGTGAACTTAATCTCACATTTGAACCTTTTCAAAGTGATTAAAAAAATAGACATTGCCTAAATCAAAAATATTTGACAACAAAAAATCAGTCTTTCTATCCAGAACGTGTTTTTCTAATATTATTAAAATACACTGATACTATGAAATAAAAGCAGTATTCCTCACACAGTTTTAACTTGCTTCATTTATGATCCTGCAAACACAGAAAATCTAGGGGGTGGGAAAGAAGCACCCAAATACCTCCAGCTGGAGCTAAATTTCTCCCTTTGTGTTCCCACACCTTCCAATGATGTCACTAGAGAGATTTTCCAATCAACTTAATCCACAGTAAGTAATCTCAACTTAGGTTTATTTGGCACTCAACAAGGAAAAAATCCTCCTGTTATCCCTCTTCTCAGAACACAACTTTGTTTAACAAATGGAAACCTTACCCAGCTGCTATGAAAGCCCCAAGAATGATGGCAAATACGCTGACTATAATACTCAGTGGGTATCGCTTCCTGTAGACAAAAATTAGACAGATCACTTTCATTACTTGAAGAGGAGATTAAACAGCTGTCTGCCTGAAAAGTTTCAAAGCAATTAGTAACCACAGAACATTTAACAGGAGGGCACAGTCTTGATAACCTTACATAAGCAATGTGACTGACCATGTGCCACGCTGTCAGACCTTGGCCCTGAGAAAAGGGATTGAAAAAGCACTGTAAGCATTCTACTACTAGATAATTTTAAAAGTACAGATTAAAAGTTTAAAGTAACAGTGCTGAAAGAAACTGTAATTTACTGTGTACTGGTATTCATAATGGACATATTTCAGTGTCTCCCAGTAATACAATAAAGGAAAATCACTACACATCTCTCATGTAGTTTTTAATCTCACATTTCTTGGAGAAGATGTTGTACAGCACACTATCTGGGCTATTTTTCAAACAGACACTTCTTTTGAAGTCAAACTGAAAGCTTGTACTTGAAGGGAAAAGCACAGAAGCTTATGATATTCTTCACTACATCTACATCAGCACTGCCAGAGTAGCGGAAAGCATACCATAAAACTATTCCACTTCTTACAACTGTATTACTTTATTTAGAAATGTCTTAAGCACTTATTTTTGCACCATACTGCAACGTGCCTTACAGACATTCCCCTAGTCATTCTCTCAGGCTAGCCCCCAGCTCTGAGCTGGCCAGTGAGAAAAGATCCATCAAAACAAAACGTACAATGCTCTTGGAGAAATCCTGTGTGTCAAAGGAGCACAGCTGTGGACACTGTCCCAACAACAAAGCTGTACGCAGTCTCCAGACATACTGGGCTTTGATCATAATGACTCTTGACAGTAACAACCCAAACCTTGACCGCTTTTTAAATCCTGAGTTAAGCCAGAACAGTCTCTGGAGTCCTTTCATTTTAAGTCCTGAGGAAATATGCTGCAGCAGTCTGTATGAACACAGCACTCTACTCTTAAGCTTCCCTTAGGTTAGGATGTTGCTTGCACTCATGCACCACATTGCTGTAGTCCAGCTGACAATCAATGACAACCTCACTGACTCACATTTTCCTCGCTTGCAGGAGTCCTCAGGCCAACAGGAGAAGCCAGCAAGTTCTGTCTTCCCTGTGAGAACTTACAACTAGAAAAGAATCCTGGAGCATCCCCAAATATAAATCACATTGATAACTGCTGCTTCAACTAAAAGGAGATGACTACCTACTTGGTGGCTTTTGAAAAGCTTTTCCCCTGACCATCACTCTCATGTTGCCTGGGTTCAGCTTCAGCAAGCTGTTTTTCCCCTTGTGACCTCACCTTAACCAAGCACAAGCTATCTGGATAGAACTATGACAGTGACAAAATTTAACGTATTTATATTCCTGTTCTTCCAAGTCAGTACAACTGAAACTAAGTGATCCCAGTGCATTAGCATACACTTCTTAATTTCTTGCTAAAAATAACAGAGGTATCTATAACAAAGGAGTTTTCTGATCTAACAGCACACTGGCAGATACCATTTTGCTTCATTAAACCATTGTTTTTAGGCTTGACCCAGAAAGCTACTCTACATAAGCAGACTGCCACACTATCACCACTGTTTTGAGACACAAGGACCCGTCTGAAGCAGTTTGCAGCTTAGGGGCCTCTGAGACGAGACACAAACCATAACCACTAAAAGTGTCTGAGTTGTGCTCTGCTTACCTGACTCCTGTGCAACAGTCAAGAAAATGAGCTGTGTAAATGAGAGCAAGCTGAATTTTTTTCCTGTATTCACTAAAACGCATGTATCTATGTCTTCAAAAAAGCTACGTAAAACCACTTTCTTTGTTTTTCTCTATTTGACACCAAAAACACTCATTCAATATTCTGATGAGATGCCACAAGTAACCCATATATGATACGATCTAAAGCAAAAGTATCTTAAATAAAAAAAAAAAAATGATCACCCAAGTATGATGATTTCCAGCAGTAAAGTAAGTGGAATGGTAAACTTCCTGAGCACTGTAAACATCGGCAAACTGTCGGGGAAAAAAAAAAAATCCAAGCGTAGCGTCAGATTAACAGCATTTTAACGTTCTAATTCTTACCTAATTTTACTAAGCAGAGGATGAAATCGTTAGTCCAGCAATAAGCAACCAAAACAAATATCCAGCCACTTAGCATATATAAAAAAAAATGTCAGGCTGACACTAGAGGCAGATTAGATAACCAAGTCATGGAAAAATAACAAGATTTGCCAGTCTGTAAAACAATGTAACTGGCTACCTTCTGAAAGGTCCCTCTGCATCAATGAAATGCAACATGAAAGCTAGCTTTCCACCTATCATAGCCCCCATGAAATAATTCTTTCTGAAGACTTCATGGGCAGGGTAAGTAAAAATTATTTCTATTGTAAACTTAGAGGACATACAATAAACCTGTCTCTGAAAACACGTAACAGAAATAAAATACAAAGTAAACATGCTTAGTAAAGAAGCTGTACTTTCAAAAAACTAAAATAAATCCACAAGAAAAAATCAGAGAAAGTACAACAAACACAAAAGATGGGACCAGCTGCAAGTACCAAACAGCTACTTCTGAACTACACATTGCTAGTCCACATGAAGTAATGCAGTTGGGAGTCTTTAATTGGAGAAAACACTTGCACCTGACCCACTGGAAATCTCACAGCATGGCCATACGGACCAATTAATCCTCTATTTAAGACACCACTAGCAACTGCATTAATAAATGATACAAAACCTAACACAGAGTTTAATCACTTTACAGCAGGCATTTTGAAGTTATGGATCATCTACACCCCACAGATAACCCAAACAAGGTGTAAAATTCCATAACATAAACAAATGTCACATAACATATCAAAACACAATGTAATGAAACACTAATGGTAGAAATGTTGCAGCCATTCTTACTTTTCTGCTATAAAAATTAGTTACGAATAGTAAATCTAAAAGACATATGTCAGCTGTACAAGGAGATGGTGCACTTAGGTTTAAAACAACCTACTAGGCTTTTTATTTTTAAATTACAGTTAGGGAAACAGGAAAGAAGAATCCACAAATTGAACTTTTACAGGATCGAAACTACTTCCATATTCACAATGGCTGAAGTGCTATTATGGGCAGTACTGCCAAGTCCTTATGTCTGCCTGAACAGTCACTTGAGTGGAAGAACTTCTGAATGCGTACAACAAAAAGTTGCCAAATCAGGCATCTAATTTTCCTACTCAGAGAAAATTAATTCTATAAATAAAAAGAAATATAAACAAATTAAAAGTAATAGATTTCCTCTCCCAGCGTCTGTCTCAACGTTCTGAAATGCTGAAAACCTGCAAAATTCTCTGTTTTGGTTCAGAGATTACTACCAAATCCTCAGGAGCCTGTAATAACACACAAGAAACCACAGCAATGGTAGTGCTGTAACTTCCAATCCTTGTGTAGCGATCATGCTTCTGCACTCCCACAGAAAATTTGGTTATTCTTACAGCAGGTTCTCTACATAGCTTACATCTTTCTAGCACTAGCATGGAAGCAAGTCTCATGGATGTATGCTTACAGGCATAAAAGAGCCAGCAAGCCCTTTGGCAATCTCCCCACAACACGCTTTTGGTGCTCAGCAGGGCTAGACCGCTGCCACCACCCCACTACACAGTATTTTTTTCCATCTCTTGGCGATTCCTAAATAACCTGCACCGACATCATGGTACAAATCTTTCCTTTAATCTTCTTCCTTCAAAACCGTCTTTCTTACAGCTTTCATTCTCTCTGGTTAGGACACCCAGGAAATGCTGGATGCTTGGGTGTGAAGGAAAAGTGAACGCACTTTCATTGTCACTGAGAAGTATTGTGATTTTCTGTCAGTACAGGCCTGGCTAAGCCCCCCTTAAAAGAAGCATACCACTTGTAAACAAATCAAATGCTCGGGTAAGAATTTCATAACAGTATAAGGGGTTTAGACAGACAGACAGACAGACATTATATGCAATTAAGTCCCTATGCAATGCTCTTCTTTAGTGTTTATTTTTTACCCCCACAAAAGAAAAGGGTAAAATCCAAACAGTCTACTTTTAACTTCCATTTACTGTACCTGAGTTTGCTGGTACTTGATAATCCACTTATGTGGTTTCCAACATAAATCAGAGGCAGAGGAAACAACTGTGATAAAATTAAAAGCACAACTCAGATTATTATGTGTTGAAGCACTGTTGAGAAACTTTACTTGACAGAATTTGATAACTGTAGTATCAGACAGAGATTTTTTAAAGGAAAATAAATGCAACTATGCTGCAAACTGATCTGCAGCTCTCGTTCATGTGACCATTCACAACCACAGCTTCACTGATTTAATTAGAAGAGCTGCAATCTACCTCTAATGAGACTCAGACTTCATTTAGAGTAAATCTTAATCAGTTTTATTTGTATTTCTATAATCCTCAGATCAATGCCCGTTCTAACATTTTAATTTTAGGTATAAAAGTAGTATTAATAACAGTAGCTAAATAAACAAGAGAACAGGTGGAATAAAATAATGAATAAACTATAAGTATGCTGTGCTTCTCTAGGTACTCCACATATATTAGTATGCCTGGAAGATCCACCATTTCAGATATACCCAAGAAATTATGCTATGCAAGATACTAAAAAGAAAAGATAAGTATACAGGGTTAAATTAAACTCTGCCTTTTCCAGCTTCTAGCATAATGAGACCGACTCACACAGAAACATATGGGCCCTAACACGATACAAAGAAAGAATAACAGAACTGTAGAGCCTTAAGAAAATGTACAAGAAGTCAGGCATCCCTAAACAATATTCAGCTGCAGCTCAAAGCTGTTAATTCTCCCACCACAGAAAAGCTGCAGAAGATCAAAACCTGCCAATGTAACCAATGGGGACAAAGGTGGTGTGTACATCTAGTGCCATTCACTATCGGTCAAGTGGAGCTGAAACAGTAGAAAGACAAAACAGATCCTCTATCCTAATGTGATAATAGCTGCTGGTTTTGTGCCTATACTTGCTTCTGGTGACACTGTGTTTGTGGAGGCTATGCTCTCTCAAAGAACTGTGTGCTGGAAAAGCATGCAGAGGAATGGGCCATATTTTGTCTACGTTAAAAATTCTGCATTTCTTTCACAGTGAAGAGAAGAGAGGAGAAAAGTGCAGTAGACGTTAACTACAGTTAAGTTAACTTTTAAGCAAAAGTAACAGTAAAAGCAAACAGGACTATAAAGTAAACACAAGTAACATATTCAGCCTGTCAACATAAGTTTGCAAAAATTTTGTAACGCGTCATTTCTTTTGCAGATTTTTATTTAGAAAAATTTGTTTTATTTCTTTCATAGGATGAAAACAGACCTGACCTTACATTCTCTTTCCTCTGCTATTTGTCTATTGTAAAGATGGTGGAGCAAAGAAACTTCGAGGTCTCAGCAAGTTCTTTATATACAGAACTCAAAACTACACACTGGGAAACCTTCTTCTTTTGTATTTGGGAAAAAAATAAGGATTGTCCATTTTCTAATCGATGCTGTAGATATTCCTACAAGATTTTTATACGCCAAAATGCCAATTATATCAACATGCATTAAGAATTAACAGTATTCACCAGTGGCTGCAAGACATTCACAGTAAAACTTATACTCATTGACAAGATTCTGCAATGAAGATGCTGTCCTGAAAAGCTATGATACTGGAGACCTGCACAGAGCTATGAGCTAACTCTGTATCTCTGCACAAACACTGACCGACACCCTGAAACAAGACATAAATACACAGGCTTATGGATCAAAGTAAAGCTCCAGCAACACTGCACATGGATGCAAAAATCTACAAGTGTCATTGCTGTAGTCATTTCAGATCCCAGTTCCCAACCTGAGATAATAAAAGCCCTTCTCATATTTTCTCTGTCCGGCCTCTTTAGACCATACACACCTGAGGTCTGTACCTAGCAGCTATCCCTTACCTACAGTGTTTTCAGTAGGCATTATTTTAGCCCCTCCTATGGAACATAAATCTTACATTTGGAGTCAACTGTTGTTTGGGTTTTTTGTCTATCATATATTCTTCTTCTCTCATTTCATCACGTCCCATTCAAATTTCCAAGCAGCCTTTCTCCCTTCGTGCATTGATCAAAATTCTTTCTTAAACACAGATCTCACACTGATCCCACAGGGAGCTGTATACATGCAGAAAAATACTTCAGGAATCTGAAAGCATTCACCCAGATATATGAGGGTATAGCACCCTTTCCCATGTACTGCACAACAAAACAGCACCAGATTTCTCTGCAAACAAAAGGCCAGAATATTGAAGTGAAATTAAAATTATCAAACCCAATATTAAATGAAACAAAGATATAAACTACAAAATTTGACAAACAAATCCAAATTTTTTTCTGTTCTTCTTTTATATCTTGTCTCCATAAGAAAGAATGCCACTATAGAAGGTAAAGTTATTAATATTAGGACCTACGTAATCCTTACCTTCACAGGTATACTTCTGTCAAAATCAGGAAAGTGAACAATCTTATTTAATTTTGACACATACAAGATAACTATAGTGGCTGCCATCTAAACAACAAGAAAAAAGAAGTCATGTAAGAGCAAAATCGAAATGTATGAATGAAAGAACTGCTTCAAAAACAAAATCTTTACATGCATTTGATAAATGCTAGGTATTACATATTTCTTTCAAACAACAACACAGCATGCAATTAAAAAACTGTAATAACTTTATTTAGCCAGTCATTTATTTAGAAGTACAATACAGACATATGCTTTACTAGCTTGAGAAAATTAGTGACACCCTGTGAAACAATGCATTCTGAGAAGGAGCCAAGAAAATAAAACAGGACACGATCTCAGAATAATCATGCTATTTTCACTCAGGGTATTGTTTAGTCTCCCAAACCACTCCTACAGCTTTTTTGGTAATGTGAGACAGTGGTTGTGCATTGATCAGTTTGTTGACAACATGAGGAAGAAATAATAAAGATATGGACAGAATGAAGAAGAATATCTAGGCAATCGCACACTGTAAGAGATAATGCAGGCCTCAAGCAGGGAAAAATAAAGTTAAAATTTTCCTTATATAAAAATAAAGTCATTGACTATCTAGAGGATGGGGTAGAGTCACGTTCTGCAGACTAAACCATTGTACCATATTATAGGTACTTCACAAAGTGTTCAGGGAACTCTTGGAAGGACTGGTCAATAAAAAACGGAAATTATATTGAGTCTTAGGCTCTGCAAAGAAATAAAGCTCTATCTTTGCCCTTAATATCAATTATTGCCGCATTTTCTAGTCTTTGGCTTCCACTGAAACGTGATGTGTGATTCCTTGAGCAGTCTGGATGTGTGAAAATCTCTTTCCCCCTCTCACACAGCAAAGACTTTACAAGACATTTGACTCTCTTCAGCACCAAACAGTAGAGGTGTCAGACTTGCAGAACCCTGTTTTCACCTCTTCCTCACTACCCCTTTGGCTTGTAACCTTGGCACAAAGTAAATCACCTCTTTTAAATGTATTTCCCTAAAGAACACTTGCTTCCAGGCTCCATCTTTCCCAGACATCCCTCCACAGAGTCAAACGTTCGTCTTCAAGGACCATATACACAAAGATTTGAACTTCAGTTTTACTATGATGCCTACTACAACAAAAATAACAAAAAACATGTATCTGCTTGCAGTACTGCAAATTGCCCACAGGCAAATAAGGCAACCAACCACCAAAACTGGTGGCAGTCCTACTGGAAAACTGCTGGGAAAGGGGGGAGAGATTTATGAGGAAATACACAATTTGTCTACAAATAGGGGCAAATATCTCTGCATATAATCCACAAATGCTCAAGGACTCTCACAGGAATGAGGTGGGTGCCCTGGTGACAGAGGATACAAAGAAGGCAGAGCTACTGAATGCCGCCTTTGCCTCTCTGTACTGCTGGAGACTGTCCTCAGGACCCCCAGACCACTGAGGCCCCAGAGGAAGTCAGGATAAAGGAGGAGTTTGCCTTGGTTGATGAGGACTGGGTTAGGGATCAATTAAACAATCTGGACATACATAAATCCATGGCCCTGATGGGATGCATCCGTGGGTGCTGAGGGAGCTGGTGGAAGTCATTGCTAGACCACTCCATCATCTTTGCTAAGTCTCCATCATCTTTGGGGAACAGGTGAGGTGCCTGAGGACTGGAGGAAAGCAAATGTCACTCCAGTCTTCAAAAAGGACAAGAAGGAGGACCCGAGTAACTACAGAACAGTCAGCCTCACCTCCATTCCTGGAAAGGTGATGGAACAACTTATCCTTGGTGCTGTCTCTAGGCATATCAAGGATAAGAGGGTCATTGGGAGCAGTCAACATGGCTTCACCAAAGGGAAGTCACGTTTGACAAGCCCGATAGCCTTTTATGAAGACATAATCAGGTGGACAGATGATGGGAGTGCAGTGGACGTGGTTTATCTTGATTTCA